GTGGCCAACGGCACTAAATGTAGTGTTCAGGACTTTTTCATACTTACTAACGGGAAATAAGGCGATTATTTTTTAGTGTTATGTGAGTGTATAGGATTTTTGCCAGGAAAGTCTGAATCATATGATTTACGTATTGATCCTGATTATCCAAATAAAGATCTATGTTAACTTTTTTTCTCTATTTGCCGCTTGTTAAAATGTGTGTTTATTACCCTACAGTTAGAGATATTAACCTATGTTTCAAGTGCTATGTAGCAAGAAAAAACATTTCGCCAAATCAGGTACTGTTATATTTTTGAAAGAATTAATTAATGTCCAATATGTGATCGCGTCTAAGTTCTTTTTTTTTAACACAGAATTTGTGAAAAATCCAGGTCTACGAATCACTTTTGGCTTTGAGTTTTCATTTGCACTTAAAATTAACTATAAGATGTTTTCGCAGAATTGAAAGGACGATGAAAGGTGCGTTACTATTATTTCATATTATATTCTTGAATGATAATATAGTTTTTAATTATATGATTTATTCCATAGATATGCCTAAAGTCAAGAATGAATATATGTATTCAAATATTATCAAAAATTTGTCAAGATGGATTATTCTAATGAAAACTTCGGTCTTGGCCATTGCTATAAAAATGAAATTGGGGCTGATAAGGATAAAGAGATAGGTAACGCTAATGAAATTAGTGGTGGATCCGGTTTAAGGAAAATCCGGATATTAGGATATAATTTATAATTAAATTAAATAAATTAATTGACTTTTTCTTTTATAATTGAGCATCAAACTAATTAGTATCGTGATTATTACAACACGATTTTAATCGATTGACCAACTAATCAACTAGTTGATTAATCGATTTTCAACTAATCGATTAATTGATTTCGATTAATCAATTAGTTAACTATATATTGGTATGTATGTATAGTATGAGTGTTTATTTAATTTTATCAGATATATTAAATATTCGAAAGCACTTGTTTGAACTAATATATACGTTTGATTCAGAATTTACTTAGATATAATATATATTAGGGATGTTAAGTGGTGCATCTGGTCCGGTCCTGGTCCAGTCCCTAAAAAGTCTGGTCCAGAACTAGTTAAAAACTAGTTCACCCCCTTGTCAAAAACAAGTCCTATAGTAGTCCTACCCTAGCGGTTTATTATAGATTTTATAATTACAAACTTTACTATTATTGATCGAAAAGTTGGCATTTAACTAATTTTAACTTAATTCGCCAATTAGAGTTCTGTTATTGATTTCCCAATTAGCGAATTTTATTTAAAGTACCACCACTCAGGGTGTATTGTTATTGATTTACAGTTTATCGATTTTATTTAATGTGTCAAAAGTGATACTCTATTCATATCATGTGATAGCTGTACTGGTTTTGGACCAGTACTGAACTAGTCTTGCTAGTCCCTAAAAAGTCCAGTCTGAACCCAGTCCGAACCAGTTTCCTGTGGACCATTTAACATCCCTAATATATATGATGATTAAAAATTTACTTATTTATTCAAAGTTTATTACAGCCAGCCCGACATATGAAGTAGAGTTAGCATTGGTTAGTTGCAGGTTATATTGTTAATAAATTGCCATCTGCGTGATATCGGGTAAATAGCCTGTAAAAAAAATTGACATAAGTAGTCCGCAATATTATAATCCCAAGCTTGGCAATACATACATATAAGGATACCAGATACTTAACTAATCGGTTAATCAATTAATCGACCAATCACTGATTAATTGATAAATCGATTAATTGATCAATCAATTATGAAGAATATGATCTCTGATATAATTTAGTAGGTTCCAGAAAGTGTTCTTTTATATTAATCAAAATATATAGAACTAAAACTTCTATTTAATAAATAGTTATCATTAATTTGCCTTTATAAAAAAAAATCCGGTTGTAAAATTCGGATAAAGTTTGAAATTGGATAATATCCGAATAGACATTTTTTAAAGTGGATATCTATCCGATATCCGTTTAAGTATCCAGATCCAATCACTAAATGAAATAATTATACTGGATTATTTTCTGTCAATGCACATATAGAATTTTTTTTACCCTCGGCTACACAGATTCCGATGAATCGTTGGTACTGTCCCTGATGGGGTGAAAAGAACATATCATTCTTAATAGGGTTATTAAAGGAAGATATTTTACATCAGATTGGGTGGTAATAATGACCATATTTTATCCCGTGGCTTTATTCGATAGAGGTATAGTTTTTAGAATTCTATCAGGATCCATATGTGAAAAATTTACAAATATTCTGTTTTACATATTCGAACATTCTATATAACTTTCACGTCTTATAATTTGAATTATATAGCACATATATGTATAAATAGTATTTTAAAAATTGATCTACATTATTTGTCACAATAACTATATAACACATAAAACACAAAAGTCGTTCTAGAAATTATTGCGTAGTGATACAAAAATCAAAATATCTGAATTTAATATAACAGGAACAATGTTACAATGTTACGCATTAACCTTGTAATTAATTATTCATTTGCCACTCGCATTTCTTCCAAGTATCCCAGTCAACTATTAATACTCTATCCACAATCAACTTTTCATGAACTTGCACTTGCTGAGGATAGGTTTTTAACAAATCTTCCGGTACCACTTCTTCATCCACCTGCATAGGTTCACTACTTTCGTAATCTTGAATATCCAAAACAGGTTCTTTAGATAAGTTAGATTTTTTACATTTTTTAGTATGGATTTTCAAAGATCCTTTTAAAGCATAGTATCGATTACAATAAGAACAGAGGTATTCATTAATTGATTTATTGACGGTTGGGCAATACCAATCGAAGGGAAAATACTGTAGATTTGCGTCTGGAGGAGTTAACTTTCTTTCCATTAATACGGAGAGAAGAAAGCTGCCAAAGTGAGTTGTATTATTGGATATGCCCATGCTTGCTATGCAAATACTATGAAGCTTCTGTTGGAGCAGAAGTGGTGGTGGGAAAAAGCGATTTGGAAGGACCTGTTTGATTCCACTGTGAAAAGGTTTACAGCAGCTTGGATCATCACACTTTATGACTTGAGTCATATAGCGACAAGTCATTACATGTTTTTCCATCCAAGCTGCTGATTTTTCATTTGAGTAGTAGGATTCTTCGGAAGGTTCTATATACTTAACAAGTATTGGATAACCATCGATAATTGTATCCTCCCACACTGATGTCAAAACATCTCTAGCCACTTTGAAATTGTGTTTTTCCAATTCCTCATCACTTGTCTTTAACTGTGCATCCAAATGTGATCCAAAAGTATCATGTGGGAGGATTATACCAGCTAAGTCATGGCTTAAGGGCACCATTCATCTTTCTACTAGATTGGATGCACTCTGGTGTAGTGCATAGCATGCTATGATGATGGTATCAAGATCATACTTAATAAAGTGATCTACCATCATTTGAACTGTTTTTCTATAGCATGGATTCTCATCGGGTCCACCATCACTTATCATTACCACTACGGGTTTAGGCTGGCCATCCATCGTAGTAAAGTTGTGTAATTTCTCCTCAGCCATCAGGTCATTGAAGTCTTTGCCATGAGAGTAAGCGGTACTACTATCATGTTTACCACTACGAATTCTTATGAACGTTGGACCTGAATATGTTACTGCTTCAGCTTGTCTATATTTATCTTCTTGTACGTCTAATACTGCATAAACTGAAGGGATCAGTTTATGCCTTTCAGCAACAACCCAATCATGATCCGGCAGTTCTACTCGGTATTCCAACTTCATAAGAATCGGTGCTATATGAATTAATTAATTATTATTAGTAAGTTTTATCTTTTTATTTATTATATTTTAAATAGTAATTCTATTTTATTTTAAATTATAGTAACCTTGTTTGTTGGCCACGGCTAAACCGAGAGGTATTCGTGCTTTATCATCTTGAGATATTACTAAAGCACTTTTGGGACCCAATAATGACACCATTTCTTTTATATTTCTTATTAAAGCAGCGCAGAAATGGGTATCATCATGGCTCCTTCTTGCTGAATTTTGTGACCTTAAAAGCTTCACTGGCACTGTTTTAACATGTTGCTTTCCTTCTTTACTACTATGCCGTCTTGGAATTAGCCAAAGATATGTCGCAGAGCATGACAGTTTATAGTTCATATTTGTTAATGCTTCTTGGAGCTGGTCTAAGGTCTTGACAGATCGTATTAATTCTGAACGCTGTCTTTTATCAGCCTGTCCATCTGAAGAAACAATTTGAACAATAGCTTCCAATAAACCTGGCTGTGCTTCTTCTAAACTTGGACGACCAACTGTTGGCCTAACAAGCTGCGTATCGAAACCTGCTTCTTTAAGCTGTTTTTCTATCTGCTGAAGCTTCTGCCTTTTCTGAGATCTATACTTCTGTTGAGATCATTGGTAGTATTCTAATTTATTCAAAGCTTTTATCGACGATACAAGTTCATTTTGAATACTTGTTTTTTTTTTTTTATCAACATCGGAGATCATTTCTCTATTTTCTAATACTTCAAGATGCTATAACTCCCGATTTAATTGAGAAATTGTGTCTTTGAGCTTAGACTGAGCTGGCGCCTCTCGAATTTTAACCATTTGGTCCGTAATTATAAATTGATGACTAGATTTAAGGTAAGAATCTTACAAATACAAAAATATAAATGAGTTTTTACTTTATCTACACACTAATTCTTATTTTTTTTTAATGAGTTGTTTTTAATTACACTGAATAGAGATATACGAATGTAAGTAAAATGAATTTATTTACGAAGGGTTCAAAATTTATTAGATAATTTTGAAGGTAAAATTGCATGTGTATTTATATAACACGGTCTAATATTCAATGATTTTTACAAGTGAAAATACACATATTTTGTCTATAATACATGAGCTAGAATCTAACTTAGAATATTAATTGTCTTTTCCCAAAATTTAACTTTCGAATACAGTAGTACGCTATATTAAGTAGTCCTTGTTGATATTAATATGGGAAGTATGGATACGCTTGTAATATTCTCAATAGATTTGTTCTATATACTAATAATATTAAATCTAGTGTTATTTTGGGATTAGCTCTAGGGTTTGCTTTTTTAAAAAAAATACGACTAGCGTGTTTTTGACACGAATATGATAAGTACAAATGCGCTTTAAAAGTTTTGATAAATCTATTCAATACTGTTATAGAAATATTACTTATACTAATATAATACGAATCATTATTACTTTTTTTTTTTTTTTTTTGAATTAGTACCTTGGTGATTATACTTCGAATACAGTCATACGAATTTCTTGTTGATATTAATATGGGAAGTATAGATACGCTTGTAATATTTTCAATAGATTTGTTCAAATTTATATATATGCTAACAATGTTAAAAGTATTGTCTTTTTAATATGACCAGTACATTTAAGAGATTCTTGTCAATATAAATATAGTAAGTTTATAAATACGCTTTAAGAGTTTTGATAAATCTATTCAATGCGTACTATTATAGTAACATTACTTATGCTAATATATAATACGATTTATTATTACTTTTTTTTTTTTTGAATTAGTACCTCAATGAAACTATTTAGAGAGTATTAATGCATATCAATAAGTTATTTTATGGAGAATGGCTTCAATAGAATTTCCCATTTAGCTTTAATGGCAATTCAAATTTATCAAGAACTGGATATAAGTATGGTCATGTATCCACGTGAAATCACTCAAATAATTAATTAATCAGGGCCGGGAATTTTAATCACTTAATTTGATCGGGTCAAAATAGTTAAATAGCGATTAATTTAGGAATCAGTTTTAAATATCATGTTAGTGATGTAATTAAGAAATAATAAAAGCACGGAGGTTAGATAGTGTAGAGATGGGCAAGTTTAGTAAAGTATTATCATTTACTTACATTATTAACTTGCCCATCTTTAGATAACGGTTTGGGAAAAGAATTAGTTATCGAACGTGACTTTAGTTATCATACACGAGTTTTAGTAATGTATAACAAAGAAAAAAAATAAAACACTTAATAAATAAAGTCTTTATTAAAGTGAACAATTAGTCTTCAAATACAGTTTTTTTTTAATTTTTTATTTATCTTACATATTTTTATTATTTAAAATACATAATTTACATTTAACCAAAATAAATTTAATTTTTAGTCATAACCCTAAACTTAATTTATAAAAAGAAGCACCGATCATTATTCTCTCAGAGACAAGAACCTCCTCCTAGCCAAACGCTCAGATTTGATGAAGCCCACCAAACTACTATCATTCACCGCGAAAAAACTGATTACTATTATTTGCTAGAAGTCAATATCTCTCCTATTAAAATCTCCTCCAAAAAAATCAAAAAAATCGTTCAAAATCTCCCTCCTTTGCCCTGAACTAAATAAGAACAATTAACCAAAAATGGGGCCAAACGAACGAATAAATAAAAGGCTAACCGAAGAGGTGAACGAAAGGGTGAACAAAAGAGTGAACAAAAGGGTGAACAAAAGGGTAAACAAAAGAGTGAACAAAAGGGTGAACAAAAGGGTGAACAAAAAAGTGAAAGAAAGGATAAATGAACTTTCACACATAAAATATATATATATATTATCTGGTAATACCCTTTGAATTATTCATTTGCCTTATTCAACACTGAAAGTAAAGGTTATTTATTAGTAATTGTCAAATTAGCAAAACAGGTTCACAAATAAGAACATAAACACTTATCAATTCCTGTTGATATTTGATAATAAATAAACATCTTATGTTCATCTTTTCAGCTACAATTCTATTCGGGTAGCAATATCCAACATTATACGTTCTCATATTCAATTCCAAGTCTACTTCGATAACAATATTCAAATTCTCCCTAACCTAATGAAACTCAAAATTAAGAGTGCTTTCAAGCAACTAATTAATAGGCAAGAACTAGTTTAACTAGTGTAAAGTTCTTGCAAAGTGCATCGCTAAAAAACGATGAAATTATTATAATGGCACAAACAATGAAATCCATACTTAACCTACAAGTGGCGAACTTCACATCCCAGACTAAATCACCACAAGCGGAAAATCTACAACCACAAGAGCACCGAAAGCGACGAAACCCGGAGCAACAGAAGACTTCAGTAAAGTGATGACATGAAACCACCCAAGTGATGAAACTCATATCAACAGTGCCACCGGAAATGACTCCAAGGCTCTAATAAAGCGACGATGTGGTGGTACTATCCAAACGATGAAATCCACATTCATAAGAGCACCTAAACGACGATGGCAAAAGCTATGAAGTGACGAATTTATACCAAGGGTTCTATTAATGCAACATGAAATATGAAACTTACAATTAACTCAATCAACACCAGATCCTTAACTCTAACCAACCTTAAAAGCACCGGATCCCTAATCCTAACCAACTTTAAAAGCACTGGATCCTTAATCTAGCCAACCTTAAATACTAAAAGAACCAGATCCATATCATTTTTCACATTTTACTAATATTAATGTGAAAATAACACTCACCGGAGTGTTATTTCAGATATGCTATATGCATTATTTTGAAATGAGAGTTGGTTTTATATAGTAAACCTAAACTTTTTAAGTAAATAAGTGTCATGAGGTAATCTATTAGTAAAATATGTGACCAATTAATCATTCGGATTACTAGGTGTTTGTAGGTGGGGAAATGGAAATTACAGTAAAAGAACGTTTAGAAAAAAAAAAAAAGTGCACTTACAGATATGACAAATAAGTGTTACGTATTTCGCGTTTGTACATTTATAGTTTATAACCAACAGTTTTTTCGAAAATCATAGCTTTACCAAACCTCGCTCTATATTAGGTATAGCGATATGCTTATATTGCATCGGGATGCATCTGGTACTACAAACATCGTTTAACGTTAAATATGGATGCCCCCTATATAACTTTATCAAAAGTATTTCAACAACTACATAATAAAATTTAATGAACTTTTTTTTATTTGAATTTTATAATACTATAGAATTTAAAAAAAAAAGTTTATCAAATTTTACTTAGTAGCTATTGAGATACCTTTGATAAAAGTTTTATAAATAAGTAATCTACATAGAGTGTAGAAATACCAAAAAAGAATATAGAAATACTAGTTTCTTAAATTTATTATCTCTTAATATATAAACTAACATAGACAAATTTGCCTGCATTTTTTACTTTTTTAGCTTTAATCTATTTTTTTAAAATACTAAAATATTTAAATAAAATTTTGCATAATTATATTTGAAAATAAAAATTACTATAACTCTTTCTAACAATTATTTGTACTAAAAAATTTTTTAAAAACTTTTATTAAGAAAAAAACAAAAATATCTAAACAAGCTTATAAGATACAAGAAAAAGTAACTATAAGATAGTAGCTATTATTTAGAGATAGTTCTCATATACTATCTGCTAGTAGCTTTAGAGTTTATTACTTATTGCAGACATAGTATTTGTCATTTAAAAATAGTACTTATATGCTATTTGTTAACAAGCTCAGAGTTTATCATTTATCAAAAAAATTAGTACTGTATATATATAGATAGTAGAACTACTAGTAACTTTAATAAAAAATATATACTTTTTTGCAATAGTACAAATGTTTTCTCTTCTCTCTTACCTTTTGCTAATCTTACCAAAAATTTTCAAAAAAAATAGATGATTTGGCTTATTTTCTTCAACAGATTGGCATTGTTTATACTTATCTAATTTGGACAAACTTAGTAGAATGCAACTATGTATTTGTTTTGTTTATTAATATAGTGCTACAATATAAAGAAGAGACTAGTACTCTTATTTATAAGATATTTAATTTTGATAATATTTTTAGAATAAGTTTATAACAATAAAGTAAAACTTTACAAGTAAGATATATTAATTAGTTACAATTAGTATATAATTTTTTAGGTCTTGGTATAGGCATAAATATGCTATTAATACTGTTTTTCTTTTTGTTCTGTTTTCTTTTTTCAATATCTGTATTTCTTTTTTCTTGTTTTTTTTTTTTTGTTTTTTTTATTTTTTTTTTGTTTTTATTACAATATATATCTTTTATTAAATTTCCCACTTTTTTTTGTTTTGTATCTTATGAGAAAAAAAAAAAATTAGAAAAGAAAGTAGGCAGTCTTGACTAGGCTAGTAACTACTATTCTAGGAACCAATGAGTATATTTTTAGTAAGTTAAAAACTAGAAATAAAAAAAAAAGTTGCTATGGCAAATTGTATCTAGATATCTTAAAGTAGCCAAGTAAACTTTTATTAAGAAAAAAAAAGAGTGTAGACTTTAGCTAAATATCTTGTATTATTTACAATACATATCTTTTAAATAATAAAAGTAGAATTGCTAAATAAAAAAATAAAAAAATAAGAATTACTTTTTTGCAAAATTAATTTTTATAATATAAGAAAAAAAATTTTAATTGCTTATAAACTAAAAATAAACAAGTTTAAAAAAAATTTTTAATCAAAAAAATTATTTATAAATTCTTGACAAACTTTTTAAATATTAATTTTAAATATATAGTTTTTAAAACAATATTATAGTTTATGATGATCCTTTGCACCAAAAATTCCACTAATACCAATCTACGAATATTATGTAGTTAGTATATTTTTTCATAACAAAACTTTACCAAATAGCAGCTGAGTTCAAGAGTTTCAGATTGCATATAAGCACTATGAAATAGAGTTGAAAAGGATAGCTTTTTGTGGGTTTGGCTCTCTGGTAGAAGTCTATAGAGCTATTGAAAAAGTAGCTTTGGCAATAACCAAAAAAGTCTTTGTTAAATTATATCTAAGCAAGAGCAAGAGTAGAAGCTTGAATAAATCTACTATTCTATATAACGTAAACTCTTTTACTCCTTGTTTTGGTGTATACTCCGGCCTTTCTTCTTTACTATTACCCACTTGCAATTTCAACAAAATTTTTAGAAAAAATGAGCAAAACAGCTTACTTCCATCAAAGGATTGGTATTGTTTACTCCTTCCAAATCTGGACGACCTAGTGAACTGCAACTACATGTTTGGGTTCATATTGATAAACACAGTGCTACCTAGAGAGGATCAGGATCTCCTATTTAATTCGCATCCAGATTCGGTTATACGTTGAAAAGAGGTTTTATATAAAGTAAAATTTTATAATCGAGATATACTATAGTTGCATTAGTTATATAATTTTTATTATTGACCACAAACTATTTCTTGATAGAGGTAGATTGGTCAGCCTATTAAGGCTTTTCTCTTTGTTTTTCTTTTTTTATATTTCCCTGTTCTTCTATTTGTTTTCCCCTTTTTGATTCCCCTTTTGATTTTATGTTTTCTTTTTAGTTTTAGTTTTTGTTTTTCTTTTTAATGTTATTCTGTATTAGTAATATGAAATTTTACTTTCTTGTGCTCTCAGTAAAGAAAAAAAGATTGAAGGAATTAGTCTTTGATGGGCTAACAAGGTCTCCTGACGCATATGTAAGTCAGTGCGACAAGTCGCATCTGGGCACAGTATTTGTAGCCGGGTAATACTGAGCTCATAATTGCAAAAGACATTTACTAGAAATAGGTTTTTTTTTTAAAACAGATTTTACCATATAAATATTTGTATTGAAGCACTAACAAGACTGTCAAAAAATAAAAAAAAATAAAAAAAATATTATAGTTTATTTAAAGAATTATAACTTTTATTATACTTTTAGTAATTTACTAATAAAAATTAAAATTTTACTTAGAAGCAAAAAATTTTTATAGATAAAAAATATATAAAATTTAAAAAAATTTAAAGAAAAAATTATATAGTAAAAAGTTTAATACAAGAACTATAAACTTTTATTATACTAGGGTTGGAATTCTGCAGTTTAGTAGTCTAGATATCCAACTCTTTATAAGTAGGTTTCAGGTTCAAGTTCTAGTAAATGTAGATTCTATGAATATTTAAATATACTTACCATGGGAAGTCTAAATAAGTACAAGTTTGGATTAGAAGTTTTCAGAAAAAGGTTTATTGTAAAGAAGTTGGTACTATATATAACTAGTTGTTATAAAAGGTTCTATCCTTTTTGACATTAATTTCATACAAAATAATTTAATTTTGTACAAAATAATATTCAATTTTATACAAAGTAATATTTAATTTCATATAAAATAACATTTAAATTCGTACAAAGTAATATTCAAATCTGTATATAATAACAATTAAATTAAATCATGATATTTCATGATGTAGTGATCTAATATAAAAGGTTTAGGTACTACTCAAATCATCTTATCAAAAGGATTTGAATGGTATCAAAATAATTTATACTAGATCACTATATTATAAAATATCGTGATTTAATTAAATTAATTGTCATTTTGTACAGATTTGAATATCATTTTAAATATTATTTTGTATGAAATTGAATGTTACTTTGTATGAAATTTGATGTTATTTTATATGAAATTAAATGTTATTTTGTATGAAATTGATATCAAAAAAGATATTACACAAAGGTTATATATATAAATCTTTGGTTGGTATAGGTAGCATCAACAATCTTAAGATATTATTGGGATCTTATTTAGAAGAATAACTAGGTAGTAATAAAATTGAAGTAGTGAGAAAAGTGATAAATACAAAGGAATCTGTAGTAAAGAATTGGCTTTACCAGATTTGGAATATCTCTAATACTGTGTAGAATTACTTACCAAAAAAAAGCTAAAGCATAGAGGTATATACATGTTAAGATCTAATAAAGCTCTGGTATACTATATAGCAGTTTTTGAATATTATGAAGGTCTAGAATCACCAAAACTAGTATAGCTATTTTTATAATTACTAAATTCAATATATTAAGATCTGGGTTTTAAAAGTTGCAGAAAAGTTGGTAGTTGTAGCAACATGCAGGTTTAAGATATTTATCTAATATAGTAAAAACAGCTGCATAGCTTAAAATACAAATCTCTAACAAGTATACCAAGTAGAGATACAAACTAGACACACCAAATTAAAAGCAAAAAGTGCCTATTTGAAGCATTAATATACCAATTTGGGAGTTAAAATAGTAGATAAAGTAGATAAAGTAAAGAATATGTGAAAGTTAATTAAAAACAAGTAAGGATATACAAATCTAAATCAATTATATATACAGGAATATTAATAGCTTTGGTGGGTTTTAGCTATAGATAAATAGTTTGTATATCTAAAGTTCTAGTCTTAATACTAATATGTAATACATATATATTTATAGCACTACTATATCAATTTACTTAAGTATTAATAAAAGTTTGGAACAAATACTATATTCAGAGTATTCTTTTAAATATTAAAAAAGAAAAAAAAACTTTTATTATACTAAAGTTTTTTAATAATTTTAAAAAATTTTTTAATAAAGTTAATAAAATAAATTTAAAATTAAATATTTTATTTAAAAAATATATAGCTAAAATTAATATTTAAGATTTTATTAAAAAAATTAAAATTTTTAATAAAAATACAGACAAATTTATCTGTATTACAATTTAAGGAATAGTCTAGTATTTATAGTCTGGTGTTTTTACTTTAAAATTCTATATCTTTATATAATAATAGTAGTTATTATAGATTGAATCAAAAAATAATAGATATATATTAGAAGACAAATTTTCTAATATATATTTATTATTTTACTATAGATTTGCCAAATAACTATAGTATTTTAGTAGTATATTTTAGTATATAAGTTAGATATTAGAAGGTAGCTTAATAACAGTAACATAATAATAATATATCAAAATATTCAAATATTTTACTCTTAGCACTATTTGGACTAAAAGTAAAATATAGAGATATCTTAATATGCTACTATTATATTATTATTATCAATCTACCTCCTGATATCTAATCTATATACTACTAATATGCTACAAAGATACTATAGTTATTTGGCAAATCTATAGTAGAATAATAAGTATATACTAAGAGATTTGTTTCTTGATTTGCACTTGTTATTCATTAATTCAACCTGTGTATACTATGCTTTTTTTGTAATTATTTATTTAGTGTATATGAAAAGAAAATAGTATTTATTATAGACACATATTAAAAAGAAAAAAAATAGAATAATATAGTATTAAA